TTGCCGCAGCTCTGTCATACGCTCTCTGGCAGCAGCAAGGGCATTTTGGGAAGAGCCTCAGCATTCCGGGGGTTTACGTGTTTTCTATAGGCTAGGCCTATCTGCGAGCAGTACTTTTTCAGTGTTACGAAGTTTAGAATCATTGAAATTTATGATGGTTTTTGAAGGAGGTATGATTATTATGGAAGTTTGTTGGGTTTAGAGTACCAAGAGGTTTCAGTGGCGGCTCTAAGTAGTTCTGAATACTGCTCACAAGATCATTGTTAAAGGTCTCTACAGAGGAACACCTCATGGGAATTATACCAGTCGTCACATGTGCAACAAAGTCCCTCATGCTGATCAGTGGGAACATTAAAACGTTTCCGTTTGAATATCCCACCAGGAAGGATAGTATTACCAATATCTAGAGAGGTTAGCCAGGGAAATGATCAGACGCTATATCTGTTACAATGGAAAAACTCACAGCTGGGAGAAAGTAATGTTGAAGCCCCGGCACAGAATCAAGGATGCCTCCATAGATATGTGGGGGGTTCAAGGTCACCTACAATTTGGACATTATCATGACTGTTAAGAGTGACAACAGTTGATTGCCATTACGATTACCAAACTGTGAGTTTCCAATGCTTTTTTGTTTTTGCATTGTAATCGCCAATAATAAAGAGTAGGCTCAGTAATGAGCACAAGTTGGAGCTCCAAGTAAATAAACTTATCAGCAGGAGCGTTCCCAAATTAATATGTTGAGAGCAGAGTTCCCTATAAAAATCCCAAACCGTGATATTGTAGCCCTCTGTTTCTTATGTGCAAAAAGTTGATGGGGAAGCGATTTTTTAATATATAAACAAAAGAGTTAGTAGATTTGAGGTATATGCAACAAATGATGGTAATTTAGGGGTTGGGATTTTTCAGGGACTCTGCAAATCTTGTAGACACACAACATCAATGGGTTCGGTGGTTACTTTATGATGAAGGTCAGGAAGTCTTTTTCTAAGTGATGCCAATATTCCAGCTTACTATAGAAAGTTTATACGAGTTTGATCCATTATAGTAGTCCTGGGATTTATCTTGAGTTTCTCGCATAATGAAAAAATTGTTCATATAAAAAAGCAAACCTTATCAATGTCAACAGTGCTACCCTTGTCCCATGAGTTTTTGTAAGTGCACCTCCAGTTGTAAAGGCCTCGGGGTTTTGGGGGGGCTTTGTTAACTCAGAGCACGACGCTGTTTATGTGTGAATGTATGATAGGTGACACCACCCCTCACATTCCCCCTCCAAATAAATTACACGCAACCTACAACTGTCATCACCAGCGCACTACCAACATTGTGTTCATTACATTTGTCAACGTATTGTATTTACATTAATGTTCATGTGGTTAACCCCATCACACTCTGCACCACCACTTATATTACGCTCATCACTATTACTAACATTATAGACACCACCGCTCTCATCACACTCTTCACCACCACTTATATTACGTCATCACTATTACTTTAAAATTAAGACACCACCGCTCTCATCACACTCTTCACCACCACTTATATTACGCCATCATGACTAACACTCATAGACACCATAGCCTTTATTGTGATGCTCACTATAGTTATCAACACAAGTATTATATTTGTCATTACGTAATTAAGAACACCACCACCACCTTGTTCAGCAACCCTTACACTTGCTTTCACAAATTGTGACCAACTTGTTATTGGAACACTCTACACATCTTTCCTTGTGTTGTTCAAGTTGTTGTTTCAGGGGGAAATTGTTGTGTTTCCAGTACTTTTATGCGTGACATCAGATTGTATACCACAGGAGCAAGACTTGGAACATTGGAGACGTGAAGTCCCGGGCAGCTGAGCTCGTTGGCTGACTGCGCTGACTCAGTAGGCTGGTATTGACAGCCGACGTGATGGGGGTCCCGTTTACGTGCTCCCCAGGTGAGGTGCTCAACCCATTGTTGAGGGCAGGCATGAGCCAGTATTTATACCCGGGTACCTGGTAGTCCTGGGGGGTCATAATGAGGGGTACAGGGTGAAGTGCGGTTGGCTGTGATGCGATCAGCCCTCACACTGCAGTCAGTATGAGCTGCTGTGACTCCTGAGGTCTTACAATTGATACATTGTTTAGCAACAGTCTGTTGCTGTTTGATCATATCATAACACTGTTCAGAAGGATGAGCATTGGCACACACTGCACACCAGTGTGACTCAGCTGGGCATTTCCTGCCAATGTGGCCCCAGCGTTGACACTTATAACATCGACGTTGAGGAGGTCTGTACAATGCAATGTAATAACGTCTGTTGAGGGCTGCGTTGGAGTGAATATAGCGTGGCAGAGTCCCCTGGCCAGTCCACTCAGCTAATAGCAGACCATTGGAAAGTCGACGAGGGCTTGCAACTTGCTCTGACGCCATTATTATTATTATAATCAAGGGGAAGCGCTAAACCCGGAGGATTATACAGCGCCGGGGGGGGGGATGTGGAAGGCATTCAGGCTTAATTCGGGGAACTGGAGCACAGATCCAATTTCCTAAATCAAGAGCCCCTCACCAACATCAAGGAACCTTCCTTGAGGGGGCTCTGACGCCAGATATTGAGGATTCAAGTGCTTGTTGACGTTGTAGATGACAATAAGCACTTTAGGTGCCCTTGGTGGGGCAGCTCGGAGTTTGATGTTGGCATATTCGCAAGTGAGAAGTTTGTCTATAAATGCTGAATCATTAGGCACAAAGACGTAGTTATCCTCATCGCGGACAAACTTGATCGTTTTCTCATGATTGTTTACACTAGCTTCGAAAAACCAGTTAAACTTGGTCTCTTGATCAGTGTTGTCAGGGAAATCTAACCTGACAGCTTTGGGAGGGTGTGCGCCCCAAATGTATTTTCTTTCAGCAAGCTTTCTCTGGAAGCCTCGTTCTTTTTTCCGAGCTTGTTTACTAAAATATGTTTCAAAATCTGCCTTCACCATCATCTACGTCAACACCATTAGCTATACTCTAGCTGACAGGAGTTTCACACTGGCGATGGGCTAAAGGATAACGGTGAATAAAAGGGGCAAGGAAGGGATATCACTTCGCTAGACACGGGCAATATGGCTGTAGTGGCCTGCGGGGTCGCAGTGCGATTTTCAAGGTCATTCAGTGGGCCCACAGTCGTCTCGAGAGTTTACCCCAAAACTGTAACTACTTGTTTAATTACTCCAAACCCGCAGCCTTAACACATCTAGCACACGTGTCTTGGAATGACAGACAAATTTTCACTACATAAGAACTAGTTCTCACAACACCAAAGGTACGGCCGGAACACTGTAGAACGTTCACAAAGGCTGGCTTGGAGCGCTGTTTAGCTTGGATCAGCTAAACTCGCCCTTATCCCATATGTAGATAATGGCGACGAGTTAAGGGATACCGGTGAATAGGAAAGTCGAGGAAGGGACATTCACCTCACTAGACACACGCAGTATGGGTGTAAGTGGCATGCGGGTCTTATAGTGCCATTTTCAAGGTCACCCAGCAGGCCAGACATTCCTCACTCATTTTAAGCCTATGTAGGTACTGATGGTAGCACAATGTCCTAAGTCAGTGAAATCCACTCGTGCAAATAGTTACAACAAATCTGCAGCACTTAACACTTCTAGCACAAAAAAACCATACCCCCGGCCGGGATTGAACCCGCGGTCATAGAGTCTCAAAACTCCAGCCCGTCGCGTTAGCCACTAGACCAGCTAGCCACAATAAGATTCATCCAACTAGGTATATTTCTACACCATAGGAAAGTTAGCACAGGCACCTCTGTGACCACAAATGCAAGTTTTTACAGACGAATCTCCAGCTAGCGTGGCCGTGACGAACTCTAGCTCAAGTCCCTTCACTGCCGTCAACATGACTCACTTCTAGCACAAAACTTACTAGTTTATAGGTGAAACCTCTTTGGGATGTCCCACTTAAAAAGTCAGTACTGCAATGCTCGTTAAGTTGTTCTTAACTAAGCCACTACAGGAACACTGGTATGCCAGCAGCACTGTAGAACGTATACGTTTGGGCATGCTGGGGGTCAGGAGCTGTAACTGGGAGGCTGCCTTAGCTTGTCCCGGCTAGCTTTGAATGCTGCTTCAAGCTTGCTTGAATGGCTTGCTAAAGCCCATGTCAACACTTGGATATTTGCTTGTAGCAGGCAGGTAGGCAAAACAGGAGACATATTCGTAAGATGAGTGGAGGGGCGGCACAGAGGACTGACACGGGCACTCAAGCATTTATGTGGGCTGGCAAAAACCGCCCCTAGACCATAAGTAAATAGAGGCGAATGGCTGAGTTCCAAAAACGAGGAAGGGGGGGGAGACAGGCGAGGTGGAGTGAGGGTGTAGCCTCCTACAGCCACTTCAAATCAACATGTTTGTGTTTCACTAGGTATATCACTAGTCACAGTTCACACATAAGAGTTCCAGCAGCAATTCAGCTGCGCTCCAACGATATTTGTTGCATGATGAGTTATCAGTCGGGTGAGATAAGCAGTTCTGATATAGAAGGCCTAGGACTTCACTCAACACACACGTCCTCTCCCCTCAACCACTCAGGCCTCACTGCAATAAACAGGGAAAGCAAATTGGGCAGGCCCCCAGGAAGAGCAAATTGGAAACCCCCAAATAGACAGGAAGAGCAAATTGGAGGCCCCCGAATAGACAGGAAGAGCAAAATGGAGGCCTCCGAATAGACAGGGCCTCAAGATGAGTGTAGATAAATGGCAGTGATTGTAGATCACACTCCAAGATAATGTATGAGAGATCCCACTCCAAGATAATGTACGAGAGATCCCACTCCAAGATAATGTACGAGAGATCCCACTCCAAGATAATGTACGAGAGATCCCACTCCAAGATAATGTACGAGAGATCCCACTCCAAGATAATGTACGAGAGATCCCACTCCAAGATAATGTCCGAGAGATCCCACTCAGTAACTCTACAACACTTGAGGGAATTAGGTCAAATAAAACAGAAATGTATTTATGAAAGTGTATTTCTACAATTTAAAGCTAAGCTACATTTATACACGAGGAAAGTGAGAGAGAGAGCGCAGCCGAGCTTAGGACGACACAGTCGTCCAACATTACTCTCAGGTAATCATTAAATACTACAGGTCACATCACTACCTCCAAACATTGACTTCATACAACCTATAATTTGAGAAAAGCTTAAGTGCCAAGACAGATTCATGTTGTGTGCAGCCAGCTGCTGTCTTGCTTATATCAAACAACAAAATAGGTCTCACTTAGTGTGAAGATAATGAGAATGACAAATGTTAGAAATATGTCAAAGGCTTCATAACCAATGGCAAGATTCATGGCGTGAAGAAAAGCCCCAAGAACATAACTAAGACAACCCACCGTAGATAAAGCTAAAGAACACTTCAGTCATTCTTGGATTATCATGGGTTGATTAGTGCTTACTAGAATGATAGGCACCAGACACTCCTAGTATCAGTCAGACAGTAAGGTGACAGTGCTGAATTTGTGTCTACTAGTATGGAAGAGACAATATAGTGTCTACTGATAGATACAGTATGGTGTCTACTAGTATGGTAGATCAAGTATGGTGTCTACTAGTATGGTAGATCAAGTATGGTGTCTACTAGTATGGTAGATCAAGTATGGTGTCTAACTAGTATGGTAGTTTTGAGCTCTATCATATCTTTAAGAACTCTGAATGAAAAAACTCATCATAATATAGTCACTCTTCTTACTCTCTTTACTGTACCAGTGCTGAGTCACTCTTCATACTCTCTTTACTGTACCAGTGCTGAGTCACTCTTCATACTCTCTTTACTGTACCAGTGCTGAGTCACTCTTCTTACTCTCTTTACTGTACCAGTGCTGAGTCACTCTTCATACTCTCTTTACTGTACCAGTGCTGAGTCACTCTTCATACTCTCTTTACTGTACCAGTGCTGAGTCACTCTTCTTACTCTCTTTACTGTACCAGTGCTGAGTCACTCTTCATACTCTCTTTACTGTACCAGTGCTGAGTCACTCTTCATACTCTCTTTACTGTACCAGTGCTGAGTCACTCTTCATACTCTCTTTACTGTACCAGTGCTGAGTCACTCTTCATACTCTCTTTACTGTACCAGTGCTGAGTCACTCTTCATACTCTCTTTTACTGTACCAGTGCTGAGTCACTCTTCATACTCTCTTTACTGTACCAGTGCTGAGTCACTCTTCTTACTCTCTTTACTGTACCAGTGCTGAGTCACTCTTCATACTCTCTTTACTGTACAGTGCTGAGTCACTCTTCTTACTCTCTTTACTGTACCAGTGCTGAGTCACTCTTCATACTCTCTTTACTGTACCAGTGCTGAGTCACTCTTCTTACTCTCTTTACTGTACCAGTGCTGAGTCACTCTTCTTACTCTCTTTACTGTACCAGTGCTGAGTCACTCTTCATACTCTCTTTATTGTACCAGTGCTGAGTCACTCTTCATACTCTCTTTACTGTACCAGTGCTGAGTCACTCTTCATACTCTCTTTATTGTACCAGTGCTGAGTGACAATATTATAATGGTGAAGGAAGGACTAACATGTGGTTTAGCTTCATGTTTACACAGTGGACTTGCTGTCAGAACTGTGTTTAGTCCAGTGGTTCTCCTACTATTTAAACTCTATATTTCCCTTGAGGAACCATTAAAGTCATAGTTAATCCCCTTTTTTTACTCACAAAGCATTAAAATAACAACAAAACATTGTTCAGTGCCTCATTATTTATGTTTAAATCCTCAAAATTTCTAGCAAATTTCTTATTTTTTTATAATACACCGAGGACCTGTTAAAATGTTGCCCTGGACTCCTTGACATCCATCATTGTCAGTCTGAGAACTGATGATTGAGACTCATTGCCCCACTGACATAAATATTGGTAAATGGACACATACCAATTGAAATGTTGATTGGAAAACCTATAGAAGTGTCTGAAGGGAAGAGAATCTTTGTTGTCTGGTGCTGACCAGCACCCAACAAGGCCACAGCTAAGACAGACACCTAGCTAGTAGCATCTGAGGGAGAATGATTGTGGGGTGACAGCTGTGTGTTGTGGTGTAGTACAACGCATTTACCAAGCCTTGCTACAGTGAGGCCAAGTTTTCATAGAAACCTCTACAGTCATCTGGCCTCTGTGAATAAGTTTCCAAGCTGTCTGTCATGGGGACCTTCCTTGTCCCAGTGGAGAGGCACTCCCAATTTTCCCCACAAGTAAGGACTATAGATTCCTCCTCTAGTTCCAATGGGGAATTCTCAGTGGCTTCCACAAGGCAGGAGAAAGGGATCACTATTAAATAGTTGTAGATCATCTTTGGAGTCTCCCTGAAAAATCCCAATAAATTCCCACTCTCCCACAAAAGGAGTGGGACCTACTTCTGGGAACCTCCTCCTATGGAAGTAAAACGATCCCCTGAGAGTCCCCTTCAGAACAGAGAGGGCAATGTTAAGTCCCACAGAATGCCTCTCAAGCGACAACAAGAACATACATTAAAAACTTAGTGGAAAAAAGACAATTTGCAAGAGAAGCATTTATTGTGATAACGTTTTGGTGTTTGTGAAGGTTCATCGTGTCATACAGAGACTCCAGGTAATAATACTTCTTGAACTTAAGGTGGAAACTCACTACTTTACCTTCCAATGTATAATTGTGTGCTAACTAAAACCTCTGTATTACAGATAAAGCTCTACATAAAGTGAGACATGATAAAGCTCTACACAGATTAAAACAAGGCATGATAAAGCTCTACAAAATGAAACATAACATGATAATGCTCTACAATGAAATATGACATGATAAAGGTCTACACAGTGAACTATGACATGATAAGACTTTACACAGTGAAACATGAAGAAGCTCTACATAAAACGTTATCTTGATAACGGCTTATTCTGCACCCTGTCTCTTCATCACTGTTGTTGGCACCACACCATTTACAACCTTCTGTTATATGTTGATAATGCCTATGTTGAGTTTCTAGGGCAGTGCCCTCCTGCCTGTCTACAAAGTCAGATCTTTTAAGCATTTGCAATAACTACCTATATCGTCAATCTCACTTTTTATATGCATAATTAATACTAATACAAATCTCTACTAAGAACAGTAGAAATATAGCCTCTCTGTTTATATCCATTAATGTGAGTGTAGCTGCTGTCTGCTCCACTGACTTAATGTGTTGTGTGTATTAAAGCCAGCCTAGCTGGATCATCCACTGATACCAAGACCTCGCTTAGCTTCTCAATCCAGGATTCCTGTAAAGTCAGTTCCAGTTCATAAGACAATGTTTTGCCTGCACAGCAGAGTTTTTCAAGTTTGATGGAACATACCTGGTGGTGGGACAGGTATAATCTACCACGTATGCTTGTGCAAGTGAAACATCGTCTTGAATAGAGATTACAGTTTTTGCTTGTGTTTATCAGCTACAGTTTGTTAGTATTCCAATACCATCTACCATTACAAATCAATTCCAATTCCTGCTCTGAATTCTTATGTATCTCCTGTAATTCTTTGAGAGTTGTGCTGGCTAACTACCAGATTGTGACCATCAATTCTCAATAACCCAAGATAGACCTGAGGAACTCTCAACTTTGGTAATTATATTAAAACAGCATTTCATTGCTAGTTACCTACATCAGTGAGAAAGGAGCCTCAGTGCCTTCCCTACTAGATAAAATACTCTAGACTCCTCTAGGCTGTTATAAGACTAGTGGATATTTCCCACTTGTACTATTGAGTTATTAGTAGTGCCAGAATGAGGTCTAGAATCTAGATAATTTCTAGTAGGCCTCTTCTAGACTCCTTTAGGTCTCTATTTGTTCTTTGTCTCAGATGATGGATCTGCCCTACTCTTTGTGAGGAGTAGCAGGATCAGTCAGTAATGTTGGGGTTAGTGAAGGAGGATCCTTGAAGGCCGTTCGATCCACGTTAGACACAATACTCTCGTCTAGTGTGGTGATGACCGCTTTGTTATTGCTGAAAGGTTCTTGATTTAAGGTGCTGGAGCTACCCTACTTTTCCTGAGGAGGGCCAAGATCAGTCAGTAATGTTGGGGTTGGTGTAGGAGAAGTCCTTGAAGGCTGTCTGATCCATAGTGGCCAGGATGCTCTCATCTAACGGAGTGATGGCTGCCTCTCTCTTTGTAAACAGAGGGTCGAAGTACTGAACATCTAGGATGTGTCTCTGTCGAGGAACACAAGATGATAATTATTGTAGCTATTATAAAGCTCTACACCGGTAAGGGTCATACACCACCTAACTAATGGAAAAATAATCATCATCTTGTGTGTGTTGAGGAACACGAGATGATAATTATCATAGATACTGTAAAGCTCTACACCAGTAGGGGTCATATACCACTTAACAAATGGAAGATAATTATTATAATTAACCCTTAAACTGTCCAATCTATGTTCACGTGCTTAGCACTCTGACCTTGATTTTCCCCATTTGAAAGCATGCAAAAAAAAAAACGTAGATCTATGTTTGGAGCCCCCCACACATGGACAGATCTATGTTTGGAGCCCCCCACACATGGACAGATCTATGTTTGGAGCCCCCCACACATGGACAGATCTATGTTTGGAGCCCCCCACACATGGACAGATCTATGTTTGGAGCCCCCCAACATGGACAGATCTATGTTTGGGCCCCCACCATGGACAGATCTATGTTTGGAGCCCCCCACAATCAATCATGGGACAGATCTATGTTTGGAGCCCCCCACACATGGACAGATCTATGTTTGGAGCCCCCCACACATGGACAGATCTATGTTTTGGAGCCCCCCACACATGGACAGATCTATGTTTGGAGCCCCCCCACACATGGACAGATCTATGTTTGGAGCCCCCCACACATGGACAGATCTATGTTTGGAGCCCCCACACATGGACAGATCTATGTTTGGAGCCCCCCCACATGGACAGATCTATGTTTGGAGCCCCCACACATGGACAGATCTATGTTTTGGAGCCCCCCACACATGGACAGATCTATGTTTGGGCCCCCCACACATGGACAGATCTATTTTTGGGCCCCCCACACATGGACAGATCTATGTTTGGAGCCCCCCACACATGGACAGATCTATGTTTGGAGCCCCCCACACATGGACAGATCTTATGTTTGGAGCCCCCCACACATGGACAGATCTATGTTTGGAGCCCCCACACATGGACAGATCTATGTTTGGAGCCCCCCACAAAGGACAGATCTATGTTGGGAGCCCCCCACACATGGACAGATCTATGTTTGGAGCCCCCCACACATGGACAGATCTATGTTTGGAGCCCCCCACACATGGACAGATCTATGTTTGGAGCCCCCCACACATGGACAGATCTATGTTTTGGAGCCCCCACCACATGGACAGATCTATGTTTGGAGCCCCCACACATGGACAGATCTATGTTTGGAGCCCCCCACACATGGACAGATCTATGTTTGGAGCCCCCCACACATGGACAGATCTATGTTTGAGCCCCCCACACATGGACAGATCTATGTTTGGAGCCCCCCCCACATGGACAGATCTATGTTTTGGAGCCCCCCACACATGGACAGATCTATGTTTGGAGCCCCCCACACATGGACAGATCTATGTTTTGGGGCCCCCCACACATGGACAGATCTATGTTTGGAGCCCCCCACACATGGACAGATCTATGTTTGGAGCCCCCCACACATGGACAGATCTATGTTTGGAGCCCCCCCACACATGGACAGATCTATGTTTGGAGCCCCCCCACACATGGACAGATCTATGTTTGGAGCCCCCCACACATGGACAGATCTATGTTTGGAGCCCCCCACACATGGACAGATCTATGTTTGGAGCCCCCCACACATGGACAGATCTATGTTTGGAGCCCCCCACACATGGACAGATCTATGTTTGTGAGCCCCCCACACATGACAGATCTATGTTTGGAGCCCCCCACACATGGACAGATCTATGTTTGGAGCCCCCACACATGGACAGATCTATGTTGGAGCCCCCCACACATGGACAGATCTATGTTTGGAGCCCCCCACACATGGACAGATCTATGTTTGGAGCCCCCCACACATGGACAGATCTATGTTTGGAGCCCCCCACCATGGACAGATCTATGTTTGGAGCCCCCCACACATGGACAGATCTATGTTTGGAGCCCCCCACACATGGACAGATCTATGTTTGGAGCCCCCCACACATGGACAGATCTATGTTTGGAGCCCCCCACACATGGACAACTATGTTGGGCCCCACATGGAGATCTATGTTTGGAGCCCCCCACACATGGACAGATCTATGTTTGGAGCCCCCACACATGGACAGATCTTATGTTTGGAGCCCCCCACACATGGACAGATCTATGTTTGGAGCCCCCACACATGGACAGATCTATGTTTGGAGCCCCCCACACATGGACAGGATCTATGTTTGGAGCCCCCCACACATGGACAGATCTATGTTTGGAGCCCCCACACATGGACAGATCTATGTTTGGAGCCCCCCACACATGGACAGATCTATGTTTGGAGCCCCCCACACATGGACAGATCTATGTTTGGAGCCCCCCACACATGGACAGATCTATGTTGGAGCCCCCCACACATGGACAGATCTATGTTTGGAGCCCCCCACACATGGACAGATCTATGTTTGGAGCCCCCACACATGGACAGATCTATGTTGGAGCCCCCCACACATGGACAGATCTATGTTTGGAGCCCCCCACACATGGACAGATCTATGTTTGGAGCCCCCCACACATGGACAGATCTATGTTTGGAGCCCCCACACATGGACAGATCTATGTTTGGAGCCCCCACACATGGACAGATCTATGTTTGGAGCCCCCCACACATGGACAGATCTATGTTTGGAGCCCCCCACACATGGACAGATCTATGTTTGGAGCCCCCACACATGGACGATCTATGTTTGGAGCCCCCCACACATGGACAGATCTATGTTTGGAGCCCCCCACACATGGACAGATCTATGTTTGGAGCCCCCACACATGGACAGATCTATGTTTGGAGCCCCCCCACATGGACAGATCTATGTTTGGAGCCCCCCACAACATGACAGATCTATGTTTGGAGCCCCCCACAATGGACAGATCTATGTTTGGAGCCCCCCACACATGGACAGATCTATGTTTGGAGCCCCCCACACATGGACAAGATCTATGTTTGGAGCCCCCCACACATGGACAGATCTATGTTTGGAGCCCCCCACACATGGACAGATCTATGTTTGGAGCCCCCCACACATGGCTGCCCCAATGATCTATGTTTGGAGCCCCCCACACATGGACAGATCTATGTTTGGAGCCCCCCACACATGGACAGATCTATGTTTGGAGCCCCCCACACATGGGACAGATCTATGTTTGGAGCCCCCCACACATGGACAGATCTATGTTTGGAGCCCCCCACACATGGACAGATCTATGTTTGGAGCCCCCCACACATGGACAGATCTATGTTTGGAGCCCCCCCACACATGGACAGATCTATGTTTGGAGCCCCCCACACATGGACAGATCTATGTTTGGAGCCCCCCACACATGGACAGATCTACGTTTGGACAGTGTAACCCTTTCGAGTTGGCAGGCCCTCTCCTAAACTTGTTCTCAGGGTCGGAAATTTTTCGAAAAAATAATTATTTTTTCTTATGAAATGATAGAGAATCTTTTCCCGATCATAATGACACCAAAAGTATGAAATTTGATGGAAAACTTACGGAATTATGCTCTCGCGAAGTTAGCGGTCTCGACAATGTTTACGCATCAGTGATTTCACCCATTTTGAGCCCTGTTTTCGGCCAATTCCAATGTACCAGTTGATAAAAATCATACGTATTTTGCTAGACCTTCATTTTTTCTATCAAATGAGTACAAGAAACTACCCATTTACCAATTTCAACTATCCAATAAAGTATATTGCGACCTCTGGTAACTACAGGTTATATGAAATTCATAGTATACGTCTGGTATTTCAAGAAAATAGAAACTAATGAAAGTCACTCCACTCCACTAAGTACCATAATAATACTGGTTAGTTGCCACTACGACACTGTATTCTGCTATTCACTGGTATCACTAGATTATATGCGAGGTACACTAGCAGGCCAGGAAGATTATTAAAAACAGCTGACCTGTGGTAAGTTTCTGGCGACTTCTGGCACCTGCCTCTATAGGCTTATCACTTCATTTACAAATTCACCTGTTTTCAAATGACACTTTAGCCTTTATCATCTATATACTAGGGAGCCACTGTAGTATACACTATGTATACACAATGTTATCAGGGAGACTTTCTTTCCTCTGACAAAGAAAAGTTCTATTATTATTATTTTGCACACGGGACACAGGCCTATGATTCCCCTCTGGCAGTAAACTCTGCTAGGTAGTGCACACTAATTCTCCTTTTTTGACTCAGTATATAATGTTTTCCGCCCAAGATTGGTTCCAGGCGCTAGAGGGATGTATCGTATAGGATTGATGGCACAAATTAAAGTTCTAGCACGTAAGAGCGACCGTGAAAACACGAGAAAACCCGGAGCACAACGAGGCACGCTGACACGCTGCTATACCTTATAGTCACACTTCAGTCCTTGCTGCATTGCCTGGTCAAACAACAGAGCACCTCCCTTATAGTCACACTCCAGTGCTTGCTGCATTGCCTGGTCAAACAACAGAGCACCTCCCTTATAGTCACACTTCAGTGCTTGCTGCATTGCCTGGTCAAACAACAGAGCACCTCCCTTATAGTCACACTCCAGTGCTTGCTGCATTGCCTGGTCAAACAACAGAGCACCTCCCTTATAGTCACACTCCAGTGCTTGCTGCATTGCCTGGTCAAACAACAGAGCACCTCCCTTATAGTCACACTCCAGTGCTTGCTGCATTGCCTGGTCAAACAACAGAGCACCTCCCTTATAGTCACACTCCAGTGCTTGCTGCATTGCCTGGTCAAACAACAGAGCACCTCCCTTATAGTCACACTCCAGTGCTTGCTGCATTGCCTGGTCAAACATCAGAGCACCTCCCTTATAGTCACACTTCAGTGCTTGCTGCATTGCCTGGTCAAACACCAGAGCCAGAGTACCTCCCTCATAGTCACACTTCAATGCTTGCTACATTGCTTGCTCAAACACCAGAGTACATCCATACTGCTTTGGGACTTATGAGAAGCCCTGCAAAATGTTCCTTAGAGCAAACCTTGTTGGTCTCTTCACGAACACCCAGATCTTCAAATAGTCTTTCATATATCTGCTTGAACTCAGAAAACTTCCAACAGAAGCTGCCACCTTAATCAGTGTTTTCCAAAGTCATACAAATAAAGTGAACTTACACTTGATTTTGGTCATTAAAGTGCCCAAAAATGGCCCGAGCCACTGGCCTCAACATAAAAGTCATGTAATGACCATAAATAACCTGAGATACATATCTGGTGCTTTTGTCTGGTACACTAAAGTCAGCATATAATTCTTTTATTCTACTAATGTAAAGCCTAAACTGTGTGATTTGTTGAGTGGTAACCTGAGTGGAGGCTTGAACCTCCGTCTGCCTAGTATAAACACAGGGATCAGTAAGAGCCTGGGATATGACTGGACATTGTTATTGCCACATTCATCTGCAACAGTAACTATTAACAATTATAATGATACAATAATTCCTTTATCAAGAACCTTAGAGTCTTAGTTTTGTGTCACTAAATGAGTTTGGAATAATAATAATAATAATAATAATAATAATAATAATAATAAAATAATACACCACTACTACCACTACAAATAATAATAATAATAAATACATATACTATTCTACTACCACTACTACTACTAATAATATTAATAAATCTACTGCTACCACTACCACCACCATTACTACTACTAATAATAATAATAATTATAATAAATATACCATTACTACTACTCCCACTACTAATACTAATAATAATCATCTTGGAGTAACTCACCAGTCTAGGTTTATATGGAGTCTCGACTTCCTTCCTCTCTATCTTGTTCCAGTCAATGTACTTGAAGAATGGATGGACTGTGATCTCACCATAAGGACTGAATGGTATACCCAGTCTCCTGGTGCTGTCCTTGTCCAGCAACTGTAAGGGTGACAGTACTTGTTAGTTGGTTGGATAATAGGTCTTAATAATAACATTTTTATTTTTTTTTATTTTAACACATCAGCCGATTCCCACCAAGGTGGGGTGGCCCGAAAAAGAAAAACCTTCATCATCATCATTCACTTCATCACTGTCTTGCCAGAGGGATGCTTTACACTACAGTTATAAAACTGGAACATTAACACCCCTCCTTCAGAGTGCAGACACTGTACTTCCCATCTCAAGGACTCAAGTCTGGCCTGCCAGTGTTCCTGACTCCCTTCATAAATGTTACTTTGCTCACACTCCAACAGCATATCTAGTATTAAAAACCATTTGTCTCCATTTGCTCCAATCAAATACACTCATGCACGCTTGCTGGAAGTCCAAGCCCCTTGCACACAAAACCTCCTTTACCCCCTCCCTCCAACCTTTCCTCGGCCGACCCTTACCCCACCTTCCCTCCACTACAGATTTATACTCTCTCTAAGTCATTCTGCTTCGTTCCATTTTCTTTACATGTCTGAACCACACCTCACATTGCCCTCAGACATGACATCTCCACTGCCTCCAGCCTTCTCCTAGTTGCAACATTCACCACCCATGCTTCACACCCATACAAGAGTGTTGGTATAACTATACTCTTATACATTCCCCTCGTTGCTCCCATGGACAAAGTTTATTTATTTATTTATTTTATGTCATTGCAAATAGTACATTGAGATTTTGTAGTTCTTTGTCTCCACAGACTCCTCAATGCACCACTCATGCTTTTCCCCTCATCAATTCTATGATTCACCTCATCCTTCATAGACCCATCTGCTGACACGTCCACTCCTAAAATATAATACTACTAATAATAATAATAATATGTTTATTTACTACAAGTACATGTACAAGGTATACAGGCCTAGCTGACATCAATGACATACTACCATACAGAAAGCCCCCTTGTTATTTACCTGGAGTTTACCTGGAAAGAGTTATGCAGAGCATTTCTGGGAAATTAGGTCAGTTTTGTCCGAGGATGCAACCCACACCAGTTGACTGACGCCCAGGTACCCATTTTAAACTGATGGGTGAACAGGGATGGGAGCAGCAGATGTCTTATGGAAACATGTCCCTAATATTTTCCAGCTGTACCGGAGGAGATTCGAACCCCGGAACTCAGTGTGTGAGCTGAGTGCACTAGCGCTCGAGCTATGGGACAGTCTAACAATACACCAGGGGCATTAAGGCTATATGTCACCTTTTCCCCACTAGTCAAGAATACATTAAATTTATTTATGTACAATTACAAAGTCTTTGGATGATTACAATTATCATATATAATATTGGTGTAAATTACCTGGGATAATTTTCCCCCAAAAAAGACAGTGGTTTATTTTCCACAGGAGTCCTTGTGGACATTAATGCCAGATATTGGCATTATATCAAGATATATCCCTCTATGTGTACATGCACCACTGCTCTCACTACACATACATCAGATATATCCCTTTATGTGTACATGCACTGCTGCTCTCACTACACATATATCAAGATATATCCCTCTATGTATACATGCACTGCTGCTCTCACTACACATACATCAAGACAGATATATATCCCTCTATGTGTACATGCACTGCTGCTCTCACTACACATACATGAAGACAGATATAGTTCTTCTTTCATGACATAGAATCAGTAATGATGATAGAGTCAAGCTCAGTGTCATAGGTTAGCTTTAGCGCCATTAGGATTGCAAACAATTCAGTTTGCAGTGTAGATGCCCAGTTGTTAATTCTTATGCCTAACTCAAATTTATTATCGTTCTTAACTAGGGAGGTGGCAACAAGAGCAGATGCAGCCCTGCCAGAAGACTCCTGTTTAGATCCATCAGTGTATATAACTTGTGATAACTTGTTACTACCAGCTAGGTGAGAAATTTCTTCTTGAGCAGTTGCTCTAACAAGAGATTTAAGGAAGGGATTACTAGCAATGAGCTTCTTGGGAGGGACTTGTAGGTATGTGATATTAAATGAACACATCTTCCATGTTCATGCAGGTTATAAAACTTAATGCAATTGCACGTTTTCACAATCCATTTAGATCTGTGTGTATTTACCTCTAGACACTTATCAATGACACGCATGGCTTACTGAGGAAGAATTCTGTTCCACTTCCCCATGGAGATAAGAAATAAACAAGAACAAGAGCTAGTAAGAAAATAGAAGAAAACCTAGAAGGGTGTATATATGTATATGCTTGTACATGCATGTGTAGTGTGACCTAAGTGTAAGTAGAAGTAGCAAGACGTACCTGAAATCTTGCACGTTTATCAGACAGAAAAAAGACAACAGCACTCCTACCATCATGTAAAACAAGAGATATAGGTATTAGAATATATACAAACTTTTAAATGTTATGTTAGCATGAAAAAATACATGTACATAATATGGATACACTTTGGTCTGGGACTTGGGTCACTAAATGATAGAAGAGGATTTAGAGAGCACTGTACATAGTGGAGAATGCAAGTTACAGGTGATGGTTAGGTGAAGATAAGAGGTTCCCTAATTGCCACACGTCACCTAAGAAGTAGCACCTAGCAGAAGTATCATAAGTGCTAATGTTTTGTAGAAGTCGGACTCACCATCTGTTTGTTCTATAGTGTTGGAAGAGCAATTAAGCTTGTTTCTATTCAACTGTGCCTATTTGTGTCTGGTTCTCTGTAGACCACATTGCCCCAGTGCATAAGATGCTCCTCTAGACATGTGTATGAAGCAAGTGTTGCTGATGTCCTGGTTACAAGCATATTTATGTTCCTGAATATATATTGCAAGATGCCTTCCAGTTTATCCTGCACAGATCTTGTTTCATCTCCTGTATGATGTGTTGCACAATTCTGCTTCACTCTTAGGCGCATCGAAGGAATCTTTCTGCCAAGTGGATGCTAGTTTTAGAGAGGGCTTGCCTGTTGTTATTGTTGTTCACTTCTCATGGTAGAATCCCCTCTAGGTTTCCCAGTAGTAGTGTTGTTGATAGTGTATATTACATCTTAGCTCTGCTCTTGTAGTCTTGTATACAGTACATGATACAGGAAACTAACTTCACACCAGGAGTTGCACTCAGTGTGCAGCTGTCTGAGTAACTACATATGAAGACAGCATTTCTTCAGGGACTGGTTCTTGGTCCAATCCTTTTCACAATGTATATAATTGATCTTGAAAGGGGCTCTGTTATATAGCAGATTGATGATGAAATTAAATTGTCGAGAAAAGCAGCCTTCACAACATATTGTTTGAGTACTGAGAGTGCTGTGAAGAGACTAACACCGTCAAGAGACTAACGCCGTCAAGAGTAACGCCGTCAAGAGACTAACGCCGTCAAGAGACTAACGCCATCAAGAGTAACGCCATCAAGAGACTAACACCGTCAAGAGACTAACGCCGTCAAGAGTAACGCCATCAAGAGACTAACGCCGTCAAGAGACTAACGCCATCAAGAGTAACGCCGTCAAGAGACTAACGCCGTCAAGAGACTAACGCCGTCAAGAGACTAACGCCGTCAAGAGACTAACGCCGTCAAGAGACTAACGCCGTCAAGAGACTAACGCCGTCAAGAGACTAACGCCGTCAAGAGACTAACACCGTCAAGAGACTAACACCGTCAAGAGACTAACACCGTCAAGAGACTAACGCCGTCAAGAGACTAACACCGTCAAGAGACTAACACCGTCAAGAGACTAACACCGTCAAGAGACTAACGCCGTCAAAGAGACTAACGCCGTCAAAGAGACTAACGCCGTCAAAGAGACTAATGCCGTCAAAGAGACTAACGCCGTCAAGAGACTAACGCCGTCAAGAGACTAATGCCGTCAAGAGACTAACGCCATCAAGAGACTAACGGCGTCAAGAGACCTTACCTGGAGTTTACCTGGAGAGAGTTCCGGGGGTCAACGCCCCTGCGGCCTGGTCTGTGACCAGGCCTCCTGGTGGATCAGAGCCTGATCAACCAGGCTGTTGCTGCTGGCTTCACGCAAACCAACGTACGAGCCACAGCCCGGCTGATCAGGAACTGACTTTAGGTGCTTGTCCAGTGCCAGCTTGAAGACTGCCAGGGGTCTGTTGGTAATCCCCCTTATGTATGCTGGGAGGCAGTTGAACAGTCTCGGGCCCCTGACACTTATTGTATGGTCTCTTAACGTGCTAGTGACACCCCTGCTTTCATTGGGGGGATGTTTGCATCGTCTGCCAAAAGTCTTTTGCTTTCGTAGTGAGTGATTTTCGTGTGCAAGTTCGGTACTAGTCCCTCTAGGATTTTCCAGGTGTATATAATCATGTATCTCTCCCGCCTGCGTTCCAGGGAATACAGGTTCAGGAACCTCAAGCGCTCCCAGTAATTGAGGTGTTTTATCTCCGTTATGCGTGCCGTGAAGGTTCTCTGTACATTTTCTAGGTCAGCAATTTCACCTGCCTTGAAAGGTGCTGTTAGTGTGCAGCAATATTCCAGCCTAGATAGAACAAGTGACCTGAAGAGTGTCATCATGGGCTTGGCCTCCCTGGTTTTGAAGGTTCTCATTATCCATCCTGTCATTTTTCTAGCAGATGCGATTGATACAATGTTATGGTCCTTGAAGGTGAGATCCTCCGACATGATCACTCCCAGGTCTTTGACGTTGGTGTTTCGCTCTATTTTGTGGCCAGAATTTGTTTTGTACTCTAACGCCGTCAAGAGACTAACGCCGTCAAGAGACTAACGCCGTCAAGAGACTAACGCCGTCAAGAGACTAACGCCGTCAAGAGACTAACGCCGTCAAGAGACTAACGCCGTCAAGAGACTAACGCCGTCAAGAGACTAACGCCGTCAAGAGACTAACGCCGTCAAGAGACTAACGCCGTCAAGAGACTAACGCCGTCAAGAGACTAACGCCGTCAAGAGACTAACGCCGTCAAGAGACTAACGCCGTCAAGAGACTAACGCCGTCAAGAGACTAACGCCGTCAAGAGACTAAC